CTAAATTACCTGGTTGACTGGATATCTTCTTCACTTAGATGTAAGAAAAGTGACAAATTGCTCTTTCTCATAATCTCAAATCCGGAACTCACAAATAGAGTAATTGGTAAACAGACTCTTTGATGACTGGCTCTGTTCTTTGGAAAGCATGTTATCAATACTTCAGCATTTTCTTTAAAAAAAAAAAGGTTAGGCCGGGCGCGGTGGCTCACGCCTGTAATCCTAGCACTCTGGGAGGCCGAGGCGGGCGGATTGTTTGAGCTCAGGAGTTCGAAACCACCCTGAGCAAGAGCGAGACCCCGTCTCTACTAAAAATAGAAAGAAATTAATCGGACAACTAAAAATATATAGAAAAAATTAGCTGGGCATGGTGGCGCATGCCTGTAGTCCCAGCTACTCAGGAGGCTGAGGCAAAAGGATTGCTTGAGCCCAGGAGTTCGAGGTTGCTGTGAGCTAGGATGACGCCACGGCATTCTAGCCTGGGCAACAAAGTGAGACTGTCTCAAAAAAAAAAAAAAAGGTTAGATTTGTTCCTCTTGTGACCTTGTCCCATCAATAAATAAATAAACAAAACAAATTGTAATAGAATATTCAACAAATAAAATTCTATGTCTATTGTCAATGAAAGTAATAAAGAATATGGTTAGTGCTTAAGAATTCTGTACAAAGGGGCTTGAATAAATTACAAAAGAATCCTGGGATCCTGTAATTACAATTTGATTGAAAAGGAGTTGCTCTTTGGCCCTGCTAATCCAGGGCCCAGTCACTCCTGCTGAATCATCAAAGCCAAGTTAACCTCTAACTGAAAGGTATAAAGGTGGAAGCGAGTTTAAACAATTTCAATTTTTCTCTTTGCTAAATGACAGAATCCAGCCAGTTGAGAATTTATCCTTTTGTAAAACCAGTTAATCTGCATTCCGGGAATTTATTCCAATTCACAGTTCAGTTTTCACTGCACTTCATACTGAATGATTCTGTCAGTGATTCTTCTGACACAGAAGTAGACCCAAGGCCTGGTGAACTGACAGGGTGTCCTAAAAGTCACCATAGATAGGGAAAATGGGAAATTGTACCTAACTATACCTTTACTTACAAAATATTCATTACAAAATTTTACAAAATTTTTCCTTTGTATGGAGACTGCAAAGATTATTATCAATACAGCTTGTGCTATTAATGTCAAACCAGCCTTGAACCTGTAAACCCAAATTAATCAACAGTATTACTTTGGTAACAGTTAGGCAATCATACATTTAATTATTAACTCATGCTTCCAGCTGGGGTTCTCAACTCAAGGCTGAGATAAAAATCAGATAGCAACTTTAAAAAAATACAGGTGCCTAACTTGCCCTAAGATACTGATTCAGAGGTCTGGAGTAGGGCCCAAGGAGTTGTATTTTGAAAAAGCTTTTACAGTGATTCTGCAATAGGGGCAGAGGCTGTCACACAGGTACTGATATAAACAGTAAGATTATATGTTTCACAAACAGAGACAGGAGGCACTGTGCCAAGGATTATTCAAAACATACAAAGAACATTTGCATCTTTCTGGAATGTCAATTTTCTTGACAAACAGTTTAAAATGTCATTTTTATTTTGGGTGGTGGTTACATAGGTATACAAAACTGTCAAAACTCATCTAACTGGTATTCAAGATCTGTGCATTTATTTAATTGTATGTTTATTATACCTCAATAAGTAAAGTGCTATTTTTATTTTTTATTTTTTTTTTGCAAATGATTAAATATCACTTTCTTTCCATTTATCGCATGATCCAAGTGATGGCCTATCCATCAGCTCATCTGCGATGTTTAGCTACAGCGTTTCGCATACATTATTCCCTGCTTATAGCGTTCTTTTACTAAGAGAAATAACTTAATTCTGCCTCTTGACAGCAGAGAAATTAAATGGTGAGGCATAAAGATGAGTGTTTCTCTGAAAAACAAAACACCAACTGCAGATCTATAGCATCAAGCCAGCAGTATGTCACCCCAAACCAAGATATACAAGGACAAGCTGCTGGAAAACCCTCTCACTTCAGAAAGCTGAAAAATCTTCTGACCTCAAGTACAATTTGCCAAGTGGTACAACCACTTTGCAGAGCAATTTGACAACATAGAAAGTCAAAGACACAAATACCCAGGGATGCGGGGATTGTGCAGACTCCAAACCTTTGGCAGTACATTTTCAACTGCAATTGGCACTAGTGGATGGACTTTGCATGGCTCTCAGAACACACATGAGACTGCACACACACACACACACACACACACACGCGCGCGCGCATGCACACACATGCAAATCTTTGCATCCATGTGAGGTGGACAGCAATGCCCACTTACAGTGTTGTCCTGGGGCTAGGTGAACACTCCCTAAAGTCCACAGCCATCTGGCCTTCCTGTTCACCCCACTGAATATCACATAGATCCATTACATTGATGCATCATTCTCACCGGACAGAATGAGCAACAGGTGATGAGTGTCCTGCAGGCCTTGGAAAGACCCATGTGCTCCAGGGCGTGGGAAGATTTAGGGACCTGCACTTCAGGTCTCTGACTTCAATGGCAACTTGCTGCCTCCAATACCACAAGGAAGGAAGCACATTGTCTGCTGGGTTTGAGGGGTTCTAGGGGAAACCCATTTCACACCCAGGAACACTGCGCCAGCCCACATCACCACGTGACATGCAAGGCTGCCAGCTTTGAGTGGGGCCAACCACAGGAGAGGACACCTTGACCAATGGCTGCACCTGCTGCCCTCTGGACCCACCCCACGTGTCTGCATTCCAGCGCCTGCTCCCAGATCATGCCTGAGCACGGTGCTAACACAAGCCTCTTTCTGTGAGCAATGGACTCTCTAGCTGAGAACTTTGGCTTGAAGATTCCCATTCACCTGGCTGAGATGCCCTCTGCCCCATCCCCTGTCCCGCCTCCCCTCCTTCCAGAGGTGTCAGCTCTCATCCCACTCTGACGTCTCCCTCTCCTGCAGCCCCTCCTACTTATCCCTCATGGCTCTTTCTCCCCACAGAGCTCTCATAGTTCTTATCCTTTCTTGTCCTCAACTTCAGGAAGAACCCAAACTAATATGCTTGGTTTAAAATGTACCAGGCTCACTCTGACATCTCAGTAAGGTGACGACGATGGCGTGGAGTTTGTATTCAATTCTTCCAAGACTTTGAAGAAGGGGATACGTTGTTCTGCATGGTGCTCAGACAAATAATAATATTTTCCAACAGTTAATAAGCATTTATTTTTGCCGGACAATCTTTTAGGTACTTTGCATTATCATTTCGTCTCATGCTCACATCTACTTTGTGAAACAGTAATCATAGGATCCCTCACCTCACAGCAGAAATAAATGAGGCGTGAAGTGTTTTGGTATCACTCTCCACGGTACACAGCTAATAAAATATAGAGGTAACCACAAATCCTTCTTGCTGTTGTAACTCTATTATAATAAAACAAATCC